ACCGGGGTTACCGCGAGCACCGGGGGCACCGAGGGCACCGCGGACACCGCGAGTAGCGGCGGTCCCGCACCATGATCTGCGGCAGGAAGGCTCGTCCCGCCCCCGAGCAGCCCCGCGCCCCGTCGGACGGTGCCGGTGGCTCCTGGCGCTCCGGGAGAGCCCTGAAGAAAATGGGTGAGTCCCGGGAGGACCGCGGGGAGCCGGGCAGAAACCCCGGGAGGGCTGTGCCAGAGGGGGGCCGGGAGGGATCACGGTGACTGGGAGGGTCCCTGACGTGAGTTGGGGGTCGTGGCAGGGAGGGGACCCCAACGGCAGGGCTGGGATCCCCAGGATAGCCAGGGAATAGTCTCCATGGCTGGATGTGGTCCTCGCTGTGGGGAGGGGTCCATAAAGCCACGAAGGTCCCCGTGGCAGGGATTGTCCCCAGAGCAGATGGGGTCCCCACTGGCAGGGATGGGTCCCCGTGGCAGGGGACATTCCCGAGGTGGATGGATTCCCCCACATCAGGGAAGGGTCCCTGTGGCTGGCAGGGGTCCCCAAGGCAGCCCCAGGGATCTGTGTATCACCCCAGCTGTTGAAGGGCAGCAGGGTCAGGGTTTGGCCACACCACAGGTGACAGGAGCCCCCCTCTCAGAGTGTTTGTTGTCCCCAAGGCTCAGCTCCTGCTCCCTGGGTCCCTCACCCAGGCCCTGCCTCAGTTTCCCCACCCAAGGGTGCTGCCCATGGCGCTGTTGGCCCGGGGCCCTCTGGCCCATGGGGTGTGTGCAGGAAGGTCAGGGGGCACCCACGGGAGCGGCTGGATCTGGAGTGGATACAGAGGGGCAGGGCCTTGGGTTGCTTTGGACACGGGGCTGTGGGCCTGGAGCTGCACAGCTGGGTGCAGCACTGTATCCATGTGTCTGTGTCTGTGTGTCTGTGTCCCTGTGTCTGTGTGTCCATGTGTTCCTGTGTCCCTGTGTCTGTGTGTCCATGTGTTCCTGTGTCACTGTGTCCCTGGGCCTATTCATCCACACACTTGTGCATCCATGTACCCCTTGCCCGTGTGCCTGTGTGTCCTGCATCCCTGCATCCACCTGTCCCTGCATCTCCACATCCATACATCCATGTATCCATAGATCCCTGCTCCTGTGTACTCACCCACCCTGTCCATGTACCAGTTCATCCCTGTGTCAGTGTGTCCATGCATCCATGTGTCCATGTGCCTGTATCCAGGAATCCATGCACCTGTGAATCCATTCACTTGGACATTCATGTGTCTGTATGTCCTTGCCTCAGTGCATCCATGTGTCAGACATCCCTGCATCTCTGTATCCATGGATCCAGACATCCCTGCATCTCCATATCCATGGATCCAGACATCCCTGCATCTCCATATCCATGGATCCATATGTCCATGTGTCCATGCATACATGCACCTGTGTCCACATGTCTGGCAATCCCTGTGTCCATCCCCCTGCCCAATACCTGTATCCTTGTGTCCATACATCCGTGAATCCATGCATCTGTGCATCCATGTGCTTGTGGCCCCTGTGTCCCTGCACCTGCCCTCAGTCCTGCACCTTGGGCAGGGTGTGACCACACAGGAGGTGGTGGCTGCTGGTGGTCACATCCCCGAGGCCATGGCCAGCTTGGGGTGCTCCCTGTGAGCCCCACACCTGCCCTTTCCCAGCCCAGGAGAGGGACACGGCCGCTGGGGCTGGTTGGAGTGGCTGCCAAAACAGGGAAGGGAGGAAATAACCATTCTGTGAACAGATGGAAAAGTCCCGGCCAGGGCGTGGGCCCCGAGTCCCCCGAGGCCACCCTGTCACTGTTCCCAGCCTGGGCTCTGCTGCTGGCACCGTCCTGGAGCCCTCCACAAGGGATCTGGGCAGCCTGGCTGGGGTTTACAGCTGGGCTGTGTCACTGTGTCCCCCCAGACAGGCACTCAGTGCTCTGGAGGGGCAGTGCTCCTGTCCCATCTCAACCCACTCCTGTCCCATCCTGTCCTGTCCTGTCCTGTCATGTTTGTCCTGCCCACTCTGCCCCATCCAGTCATCTGCCCCACCCTGTCCTGTCCAGTCCTACCTGTCCCATCTGTACCGTCACACTGTGTCACGTATTTCCCATCCCATCACCCTCTCCTGTCCATCTCACCCTGTCCTGTCCCACCCCCCCCATCCTGTCCCTTGTCCGTGCTGTGCCATTCTGTCCCATCGTGTCTGTCCCATCCAATTCCACCCTGTCCTGTGGCATCACGTCTGTCCTGTCCCATCTGTCCTGTGCCATCCCACGGGCTGTGCAGGGGTGTGCATGTGCAGATGTGCACACAGATGTTCACTGATCCCC